AGTTGACATTCTGGATGGTTTTGGTATGGGATGGGGGGCCGATGATGATGTCTGATTTGGCACTGTTCAGTTGGAGATAGTTGTTTGGATCCATGCTTTTATTTCTGAGAGACAGTTGGTGAGAGTGGAGTGTGTGTGTGGGGTGGGATGGTTTTTGTTGAGATATAAAGTTGGATGCATCGGCGTAGCAGTGAAATTGAAGGTTGTGGTGACTAATTATTTTGCCAAGGGGGCGCATGTAGAGGATGAAGGAGGGGGCCAAGCCGAACCCGGGGGACGCCTTGGACAGAGGAGCAGTGGAGAAGGTGCAGTTATTGATGTTGATAAACTGATGTCTGTCGGTGAGGTAGGATTTCAGCAGGAGAGTGCAGTGTCGGTGATGTTGAGTGATGATTCGAGGAGGGACAGCAGGATGGTGTGGGTTGATGGTGTCGAATGCTGCGGTGAGGTCGAGGAGGATGAGGATGTTCAGTTGCCGGAGTCTAGAGGAGAGGAGGAGTCGTTTGTGATTTTGAGAAAGCTGATTCGGTGCTGTTTTGATCGGAAACTGGATTGAAATGGCTCAAAGTGGTCATTGGAGCTGAGGGGGGATTTTAGTTGTGAGGCAATGACACGTTCACTATTTGTTTTGATTGCTTTTATCTTCAATGAAGAGCAAATAGACGTCGAAATTGGTTACTATATTGCTGTTATTTATATTTTCATGTTACAGTATAAGATGCTGTTGCACGTTTGAAAGCTTTGTGCTCTTTCACATGAAGCACAAGACTGTTTGTAGTGTCAGGAGAATGTAAAGTCCAACATGACCTTTAATAGCACTGCTGTTAAACTGTTGCTAAATCTTCTGTTTATGTTTAAACAGGGGAAGACGGAAGAAAGCAAAGGAAGATGAAAATGGAGAGAGCGCGACTGATTATCAGAATAAAGAATCCAGGTTATAGTTGTGATTTGTTTTGTATTTTTCTTTATACTCACATGATTGCTCAATAAGATGTTGTTTTAAATAAAGTTACTTTTATCATTTATTGTGTGTAATTCTGTTTGATATATTATTGTATGAAATGTCCACCTAACTTATTGTGAAGCACGATGTCAAGCCATTTTTATAAATTGAACATTTTGACACATGAAATTGAAGACTGCATGTTTATGTATATAATTAAGATTGAGGAGCTTTGTTGTGTTTGTGAAAGCATTCTCTTCAAATAGCCTTTATAAATGGTTAAGTATCAGATCACTGCATGGGAATCCATCATAACAAGATTCAATGAGACATAAAGATAATGCATGTTTTAGACACAGATGTTGCAGTCATGAAACATGTGTAGTCATCTCATTCATTCAGGTAGATTGATGCCAAGTCAAATATAATACATTAGTCTTTAATTATATGACATCTCCTCCTTTGTTTATCAGCAAAAATCCAGTGGACAACATGTTTAACACCGGAGAGCCTATTTTGTGACTGCTGGTATATTATTCTTACAGCTTCCCCAAAAAATATGTGTTTTCACATTTCCATTTCCATTTAAAATGATGTAAAATAACATACACAAATTGCTAGAAAGTACAATCATACTTTTATCAGTGCATCACCAGAGGCTGTTTTATAAAAGTAACGCTTAAGCTAATATAACAGCCATTTAACAGTAAACTGGCGGCACCATGCTTTCACTTTTAAATGTTTTCATTCTATATTTTAATACAAATATCTGAATGAAAATAAAAACCTTTTGGTGTATCTCGCACTATCCTTTTATTATATCTACACTATGCTTTAAATAGATAGGGGAAACACCATAAAGACGTGTCATCTGTTTCCGTGAAGTTACACAGTCATTTCACTTTCAGTTCAGTGTAAACAGGACGCTTAGACATTTAAAAAGCGCTGTGCATTATTTTTTTACAATTGAATATAAGACAATCCGTGTATTTTTTTGTAAATGTTTAGTGGCACCGTCCACTGTGGAATGAAGGGGATGCTGGTAACCGGACCTCAGCCTGGCTCAGCTGCTCTGAATAACGTTGCCATTTCGCCTGAAGGCTTGACTAAAGTAAAAATGAAAGCAGTGTAGCACCAACCGCTGCTTCTTTGTTCCAGTTGAGTTATCCAACGTGTACCTCATTTCTAGATGGATCTTCCTTCAAAGCATCACCTCCATATGGAATAATGCGATGGCTGCTTAACTAAAGGTGAGTTTTCTGTTCTTTATTTAATCTAAAGTGTGAAAATTCGCCTTGTTGCCATATGGAAATATTCATGTGTTATGTTTACAAAAAGCAAATAGCCTAATTCAATGTGATGTAAAAGGCATAGCAACACTGCATTGATAAACAATAGTGTTTACTGTTTACTATACACTTCTTGAGTTTTTCTATTTCTTTCTCTTTTCAACTTTTCACAAAATCATGTGTAAATGAGAAAGTGAAAGCGAGGAACGAAAACCAGATTATATGACATGATTTACAGCATCAGCTGCATCATCATCTGTTTTATTTAAATGTTCTTTCTCTGTGACGACCCCTGCCTTGCTATCTCCTGTGTGTGTGTGTGGCCCTTTAATGTTCTCCCTCTGTTGTGTCAGCGCTGATTGAGGACACCACACAATTACCCTGCAGAGCTGAATAAGAGTCATGGTTAACAGACAGGAAAGTCATCTTCTAAACTAGGGCAGTGACTTTTGAACTACTTTGAACCCTACCGGCCTTTCATATAACAGGATTGCGAACCTTTGTTCCAAACAAGTATCACCACCATACTGTATATCATAAACGAAGATTGACTTGATGACTTGACGTTCCCACAGAAAAAGCCCGCCAAATATAAAATAGAAGGTGACTTGTGAAGCGATTTGAGTTACATCATACGGATGCTTGAGCTTTAGGTATGCATTCGTCTTGTTCCTTGGAATATGTTTTGATGTTTAATGCCTCTGTTATCAGTTACCAGACAATATGTGTACTGTATCACAGTAAGGCATCTTACTCATTGTTATAACTCAACAATTAATTATAACTTCATTGTTAGTTATAAGGCGCGTTCACACCGCAGTAAGGGGCAGTACCACTTTAGTTCATGAGTACTTAGTTCATGAGAACTTTTTAGTTCTCATGAACTAAGTACAGCTCGCGTCCACACCGGAATAAGTTCCTGGGGAAGGATTAGGCAAATGAAGCCGCTGACGTCATGCTTCTTCTTCTTCTTCTGCTTTGGGTTTACTGGCAGGCGCAAACAACTTCACGGCGTATACTGCCACCCGAAGTCCCCGGCCGGAAGTCCCCGGAGTTGGGGACTGGCTTGAGTAGAAGCTGCTGGGAGTCCCATAGCTTCTACTGAAGCCTTCCGAGTATATCGCCAGAACGCCGAAACCTCCTCATCTCCACCGCTCCCATGTTTAATTTTGTGTTGCCATAAGTTAGTCTCTCTGCGTTGGGCTAATGCTAATGCTAATAATGCTAATGCGAGGATAATAAAATGGCGGCTTCACAAACTTTTGGGAGTTTTACGGGGCGTGGTTTGCATTCCGCCCAGCCAATCAGACATAGGAACCTTTTTCTCCCACGAAAGTACCTGCTCTCTAGCAGGGACGGAAAAGGGGGTAAAAAGGTTCTGATGAACTAATTTGAGTTCCGGCTCTTTTTGGTGTGAACGTGACATTTTGGAACTATATATCGGAACTAAGTGGGAAAAGTACTGTGGTGTGAACGCGGCTATTGCTATCAAAAGCAAGTTGGAAATTATTTTTCCTTTGCAATATGTTTTCTATGGGGTATAGTGGTTGATATAGTGGTAAATCACGTGACTTACGAAAAGTCATTGAATGCAGTTTATCATCTGGCCATAGGGTGGTGCTGCTGGCAGGGGATGCTGATGCATTTCTAATAAACCGGCCTTGAGCTAGGAAATCTTCTTGGTTTCTAACCTCCACCATCCCTCCCTGCCTTTGCAGTTGCCGCTTTGAAAGAAACTACTGTAACTTTGCTTTTTCTGTCAATAGGGTCAGCAATTCAAAAGTTAATCAGTATCAAACCCTGATTGTCTAACAGCACCAGGCACCAGAAAGTAAGCAGTCACTACCTGGTTCAATCAATCAATCAGAATGCTTAATTTATTCCGGGGAAAATTATGTTTTATTACAGGTGCACCATATTGGACTAAAGTCAATAACTATTTATACAAACATAGGAAGTAAGAGTAAAAAAGTGCAATGAAAGTAGCACTGGGATGCGGTGTCTTAAGCACAGGAACAAGTAGAGCGTCCTCCACAGCACAGAGACCCTCTGATCACTCAGGCTCATGGTGAAGACGTGGTGAAGCTCGATGGAAATGTTCTCATTAGATATATCCTGGTACAGCCATGTTCTCATTATCAAAGTAAACTGCACTCCAATATTACATCTGTCTCCAGGCTAACGCTGTTAGCTCGTCGATTTTACCAGCCAGTAATTTTTACATTACATGATGAGAGGGGGAGACATACATCTGGACCCGGCTGTCCTTCTTTTTCCTCATTGAGAGATTTTCTTCAGAGTGGGATCACACCAGCAATGATGCCAATGAAGAAAGGGATTTATGGGTCACTTCCCTCCCACTTACTTCTCGTGCCATCACTTAGAACTTGAAACCATAATTATTGATATTAACAGATATATATATAGAGAGAGAGAGAGAGAGAGAGAGAGAGAGAAGAGGAGAATAGAGGAAGGAAGAGAGAAGAGAGAGAAGAGCGAGAAGAGAGGAGAGAGAGAAGAGAGAGTTCATTTTTAAGAACTTTGTAAGTGGAATAATTGCTAAGAGAAAGAGGAGGACTTGAATAAAGCTTTGGAGTCACTCAAGCAAAGGAGAACATTTGATAAAAAAAACACTCACATTCTGTTGTTAATCTATCCATTTCTTACGTTTCAGCTTTATCAGAGCTGGCTGTCACTCTGCAAATGCTGGGTAAACTTGTTATCACCAACAGTGCATCCCTGATGCACGCCTACACTGCAGAGCTTTACCCAACAGTGCTCAGGAACACAGCGACAGGCGTTTGCATTACTGTTTCCAGAATAGGAAGCTGCCTTGCTCCTTTTTTGTTAAGCTGAGTGAGTCGATTTGTCTTCAATATCAGGTACTATCTAGTTTAACCTGAATTTGTGTAGCACATCAACACATTTCTGTGGATAATCAGCCCCTATTTGTTTGGATGCTCTGTACACACTTTTATTTTCCCCTTCTCCTTGTACAGGTGAATATTTTGAGTACCTGCCTTATATCACACTGGGGACTCTGGCTGTTGTTTCTGCCTTTTCTGTTATTTTCCTGGCAGAGAGTTTTGGACAACCTCAAACTATTCAACAGATGCAAAAAAGAGAAAGGTGGGTAGCTTATGGGGTAAAAGATGCAGTCACCGTAGCTGAAACAAACAAGAAGGTATTGTACCAGAACAACCACAGAACTTCCTGATACTGGATGTTCAGACAAGATAATGGCAACAAAAACTGCAACAAAACATCTCATATTATTCTTTAATATAGCCACCAAAACCAACCCCTCCTTATCCTCATCATCCACATGACTCTTGAGAGGATATGATGATGGTGGCATCACTTTTTATAGTTTACGTACATGTTTATGAGGTTAAAAATTGAATTAGTAGAAATTAAACAATATTCAAACATTTCCTTTTTGCTGACAACCAAATAATGGTTTCTTTATTTGCATTTTATCCCAACAGCTTGTAGTCCCCGTGCATAACAAGAAAACAACATTCATAACTTGCTGTGCTTGACGAAAGTCGATTGATTGTCTTAAAAATTGCTTATATAAACATTGTACTATTAATTGTATATAATTCATACCAGTTACTGTTGTTCCTAATCAACATTACCTTCTGGTAATTGCAATCTGTATTAATCGATTTAATTACATTTTTTATGAGGAATAACATTGAAGTAATTAAAGCTCGACCAATACATTTTGGAGTATTTGTACATGCACTTTATGAATGTTATCACAAATCACATAGATGTATACAACACATTAACATGGATGTGCTTTGCAACATGAGTGTTTGGTGCTAATTCTAAATTAATTAATACAAAATAAAAAAAAACACAATTGTGTTGTTTGAATAACTGTCAAGGTCCATGGTGCAGTTGAAGTCAAATGCTTTCACAAATCTAGTGACATAAATGATTATTATTCTCAGGTATTATAAGTGGAAGGAGATAAGATGGTTATCCAGTTTTTGCTTCAGGCAGATAACAGTGAGGCTCCTTGTTCAAGGGAAAACTGGAGACTTCCCTTCTGCAACCTTTTCCTTTTCTTCGGTGTTTGTGAGTTTATAGGGTTTCTTCTTACAACATCTAGGATTAATAAAGAAAACATTGATTCAGATGCGGTAATGGTTCACAGATACTGAACATGACACAAAGTTAAAATATCATTTAAAAAAAACACAATCACTGCCAAGATCTTTGTTTATTTAACCCTTATGTTGTGTTCGGGTCTCCTGTGACCCGTTTCAAGTTAAAATTATATAATAACTACGCTATAGTTTTTTTATCGGAACAAGGCTTCATGATATCCTCCACAACAGCTATATAAACACTACAACACTGATTTTGACAATTTTAGCCAAGTCTGAAGGTCTTTAAAAAAAAAAGTGTATAATTTGGTTTTCTGGTCTGGGAAGACCCGGCAGAATTGTTTTGGGTGACTCTGGGTCAAATTTGGCCCAATCAAGATTCATCTTTGACTTTAGACACCCCACCCACACCCCCTTCATCCACTGTAACAATATTTTTTTGCAACATGCACCTGGTCTGCCATCCCTCTGGCCCCCTCCCCCCACGGGAACTCGACCTTTCTCAAAGAATATGTACACTAACACTTGAACCTGAACTCAGTCATGCACGTGTGCAATATGTGGTGTAATGTGTTTTGGGGCCATACAATTAAATTACAACATGATTGTACGGTTATGAATGCATAATAAGTTAGTTATGATGTAGTTAAAATAATATGGATGATAGTCATTATTTTTGAGTGTTTTGGACTGAAATAAATCATGGGTCAAAATTGACCCGCGAACACCATGAACGGTAACAGCTTTCGAACACAACACAAGGGTTAAATCAATCTGTACGTCCATTTTAAAGAGACTAATTTGCTAAGTCTGAGCAATATAATGATAACTATAATATCTATATTATTTGGAAATACATATATTTGCCTTCTGGTATTGATCTTCTCATTAGACTGTCAGAAAATAAAGAAGTGTATTTCATAAAATGTTTAATTGATTCTTCATGTTAAACTGGCTTCGCTATAGTGTGTTATTTGCCTTCATCTGGTTACACATAATTATGGCTGTGGTGAGTATATCATTTTTAGTTTCTGTAATAAATGTCCCTGGTGGGTTGAAGCCGAGTGCAGGAATAAAGCAGGGACAATTATAATTTTGCTAGAATACAGACCTAGACTATTCTGCCTTTTTTCTTTTTTTAAAAGCAATTGATAACGTGAAAAGATCATTCTTGAAGGCACTAGAAAAGGAAATGACCAAGTGGAAGTTATATGGTGGCAATATGAGGACATATCCTAGCCCGCTTTTTTATAATGTTTGCCATCAACTTTTAATCCAACTTAATATGTTAATATATAATCCTCTTTATTATGAATATGATGAATTGTAATTTATTTTTATTTGTAGTAAATTAATTATTTGAACTGTTTTTATTATTTATTTATGGAGGCCATATTTTTTTGTTTTTAGTTTACTTATCTTTTAATTGTATTTTCTGTCTTTCATTCACATACAAATATATATTTCAGATTTAAAGCATACAGTTAGCCATGTTTCTTTCTTTTGATTTACTTGTAATGCCTGTAGACAAATGAGTTTTGAGCCAAGAACATATTTGCTTTTTAAAAAAGAAAATTAGAAAACCAAACCCAGTCAATTTTTATGTTAATTAAAATTAACGTACAAATGATTATTTTTAATAAATAATATCACTGGTTTCTGGGAGATTTGGTGACAGGAAGGTGCAGTTTTACCCGGGGTGTTGCATGTGACTGATGGTGTCAGGCAGAGGCATTCCATAGCTCTCGGGCAGCAGGAGGGTCAGCAACCCGGACGCAACTGTCATGCTTCCCATAAGGATGTAAGGCAGTGAAACGGAATAGCTTCCTGTGGCAGCACATCAAAGAAGGAGACAGTGAAAAACTACCATGGCCACAGCAATTAAAAACAACAAAAAGACAAAAGGTATAGCGACTGTAAGGATTGTATCTGCATCAGTACTTTAAATCAAATCTTTAAATAGAAGCCTCTAAATTTGAAGTGAAAGAGTTAGGTTTTCAGCATAATGGTCTATCCGATGTGGTTGCTAGGCAAGCCTGTTTTTAGATTCTTTGTTCTTGTGACTTTTGTTCTGTTTTGTTTCAATGGAGGCACCAGCTTGTTCTAACAAGATGTCAGTTGGGTAAGAAACAGCTTTGTGCATCCACATAATTATATGCTTGGGAAAATGTAAGAAGTGTAAAATAAGGCAGAGGTGAGAGCCTCCTTACTTAAGTAAATGAAGTATGGGGCAATGATGCTGCCTATTCTGGAGGCCATGGAGCAGGCCCCCAAGGCCGTATTCCTCAACACTGTTGGGTAGAGTTCAGCTGTGTATGCGTACACAATAGCAAATGCTGTCGTCACCGCACACTTCCCCATCATCTCCAGTGTTATGGAGAGATAAACCAGGTCTAGAGAGGGTAAAGCATTCAATCAGAGGTTACATGTAAGTTGAGTTATATAAGATGCAAATTCAATTATCCGCAATTATGTTTGCTTGCAACTGAGAAATCAGACACATTTTGCATCTGAAAATACTATATAATGAGTGATCCTACATAGACAAACAAATGAGAAAAAGGCACAAAGCTTTATTAATAAAAAAATGCTTCCTCCAAGGGTCATACTTGCTGGCATGAGCTGTACGGAGAGTAGAAACACTCCTCCCATGAAGAGGGTTGATGAGAGACTCAGTCGTCTGGACCACCAGCGAAACATTACCCAAGACAAAGTGTAGGCTGGTATCTCAACCAAAGCCGACACGAAACAGTTGAAGTAAGCGTTACCGTGAAGGTTTGCCGTGTTTAGGGAAAGAGCAAAGTAAGCAATGGTCAAGGTGTTCCTGTGGGGATACATTTTAAACATTAATATCAAATTAGAATATGTTTTTAGTTAGTAGCTCTCAGGCATGACACAACAGCGTAGTCAGAAAAAAAATTAAACTCATATTATTGGTGTTCCTTTTCTAGAAATTCTCATCTAGTGTTTCGCAAATGTACCACAGCAAATTGGGGCCACTAAATATTACCAACCCATTCCCAGCTTTGATTTATTTTTCAAACGTAATTACAATGGCCCTTATAAGCCAATGTAATACGTTTATAGATTGGTGGTGAATTAAAAGTTGCAGAAGAGTTAAGTGACATTCATATTTGGACAGACAGGATTAATACAGAAAACCTGAACTAAAACATTCATCCTGAATGCTTATGTCGGTACATACAGTAACCGCTACATGACATTGTTGGTTGAAGCTTTGTTCTGCTGCCCCCTACTGGTCAACAATCTATTGTTATTGTAGGTTTGAGTTTAATAAAAAAAAACTTGAGGTGTGATACAGTCTATGGTGATGACTGATACAAAACTGAAATGTTAGTTCATGATTCTTATTTGGAATAGAAAGTATTTATTTTAGAAAGAATGTCCATGCATGCAGCTTGTAACTTATCAACCTGCTATGATGAACGGGAGGTTACAACTTATTTCCCGTCAGACTAAGTTAAACTGTTTCTAAATCAAACTGCATCGGTTTTCAGTAAGGAAGTGCGCACAGGATTAATACAGGCATACTGTGCAGTTATGAAACCTGATTTTGATCTGAGTTGCAGGCTTCACAGCACCTGACAGGTCATTATTTGTTGTTAGTTCAATGGACTGTCATTGGGCCTGAACAGTGTATGTGCGTTTGGAACAGCGTGTGTTCAGTATATGTCTGTGTGTGTGTGTATTTGTGCATGCAGGGTCACTGTACTGAATGTGGGGGTCAGCAGGGACTCACCAGACCAGCCACAGCGTGAGGGAGATCCAGCGGATGTTTGGGGAACGGAGCAGGTCACAGATGTTGAGGGCCTTACTCTCGCATTGAAGTTCTTTCTGTGGGGCAGCAGAGCCCTCAGAATAACAAACACTTAGCAAGCAGAGCCATCGCTCTAGAAATAATTTCATTAGAGAGATGCTTGTGTATGAATGGCCACTTGCTGAGTGAACACATGCATGTGCACGCGTTCACACATGTAGTACCCAAAAGTCTGGATCAGGATTAAAGGCAAAAGTTAAATGTGCAATGAAGACTGGGGGGGGGGGATTCTTGTAGTAATTAGGAGTAGAGGTAAAGCAAACAGATTTCTCCAGTTTATGTTTAAATTGTAACCTGTCCTATTTGTTATCTCCCCTTAGTCATAATTCTCTAAAAATACAAATCATATAGTGATTGGCAGTGTGATCATATTTCTTAATGTGAGTGTTGTAGTTTTGACAGTTTTTTCTTAGGTTGTCCAGTTCCTAAATTGTTGATAATTAACAACTCAACACAACATCTTTTGAATTACAAAAGTTTTAAGTATTCCAAAAAAGAAAAGAAAAGTGAAACAATCTTTGGGTTCATACCGGCAGAAAATGTTGCTCCATAATGTTTACCGGAAAACTGTAAATGATTACATCACAGGCAGTGAACCATTAAGGATGCTCTAACACTTTTAAGTAAACTCTGCAAGAGTATAGTAAGAGTAAACACATAATACTGGCTTATCATATTAGGAAAATGCCCTGTGCCCAGTTTTTATGCATTTACATGAACAGTTTTTTTTCATGAGATCTCACCACCTGCAAAGGACTAAAGATGACCGGCGGAGGCTTGATTTTGTTCTTTTTAGCAGCATCTCTCACTATGGCCTCTGCCTCCTCCACTCTGCCCCGAGACAGCAGCCAGCGAGGAGACTCTGGGATGAACCTGCCTCAGTACACAACAGAGAGAGAGACAGATGTTCAATCCCCCAGAAGAGAGAAAATTATTTTACCTTATTCCGAGTCCTTTGACTGCTCAAATGATCCTCCATAAAAGTAAAACATACCTAACAAAGCCTTGATAAAGTTGAAAAAGGCTGATGCTGTTGCAATGCTGTTACTGTTATTACATTGTGAATATAGTGACCATATCTATGTATGACACTTTTTCTTAAATGTATACCTAATCCGAAAATTATGCATGCATTTGAATATGATAAAAATACATTAAAATGAATTGTCATAATGTCATAGTCCACAAGTTTAATGTCACAAACCACAGCCCTATACAATTTATATGTTATTATCAAAGAAGGACTGTATTTATTATGTTTATCAACTACGTGATTAATAGGCAAATTCTTTCAGCTTTAAAAAAACAATCTGCTTAGCTTTTGACAGGAACTATGTTGATTAATTGATTGACCTTCATGAACGTAATACTTAAAGCAACGCTGTACTTTATACACCACTCAACACTGTAGAAAATAAAACACTTGAAATGAAACACAGCCAGAGATAAAATCAACTAGAAAAATAAGAACCCCACACATTCAAGCAAACACACACCTACACTACACTCAAAGAAACAACTTGTAGGATTTACTTGATTAAATCTTAGCAAGTATTTGCACTTACTTTTTCTAAGTATATTTTACTGCTGTAATATCAAGTAGAACTTACTTTCCAGTATCAAGTAAAATGTACTTATCACCAGACGTAACATTTGTGAAAATATTAAGTAAATCTTACTTAATAATGTTTAAGTTACACGTTATATTTATTTGAACTAATTAAGTAAAGTCTAATTATTTTCTTCATGGACAGGAACATCACTGTTATCAAATTATTAAGTAAATATTATATATCTGTAATAGTTACTGTTATGAAGTAAATAAGTAGATTTTATCATATTTTTTCTGTTTAAAATGTTGAATTACTCATTTGTTTGAAGTTATATTACTCACTTTAATTACGTAATTGTTACTCATTTACTTTTGAAAAATGTTACCTAATAAATGTAATAATCTATGCATTTAATATACATTGAGCACAAATCACAATACAATTCAACTTTATTTTGTCAACAATTCAATCACTATTAACCGACAACATTAACATTATAATAACTGCATGCAACATTAACATTATCTTATCAAAAAATACAAAATCTACTCCATCATAGATTTGGAGTGGTGCTTTTTAAACATTCAATACAAACGTTTCTTTACCTAAGGAGGGGGAAAAAACATATAACAGAATATGAATAGACGGCAACAACTGTAATCCGTGTGAGAGAGAGAAAGAGGGAGAAATGTTTATACGGAGAAATGAAAAAATGGCAGAGGGGGGAGACAGAGATTGATACAGCTCCCTGAAACTGAGCAATTGCAACATGGACAGTGGAAGGTACATATGAAGAACACATTTTCCATGTCTTTAAGGCAGCAGGTTCACCTTCAAAGCTTGTACTTGTTAGGATTATGTTTTTAAACAGGACCCAGGCGCAGGCAATGACTGAAGATGTTTAAAATTGTTTATTGTTCGGAGACTCAGGCAGGTTTGGAGACTATGGAGGTCCGGAGTGGAGGTAGGCAGTTCAGGCTGGAACTGAGAACAGGGCAGGCAGGTATGGTGAAGGAAGAAGCAGGCAGGTTGGCTGGAAGCTCTGGTGGCCGATGGCTGAGGGCTGAGGGATCGCACTGGAAGCACAAGGAGAAACTAATTACAAAAAAGTACAGAATAACACGCAGACAGGATAACTGAATTGAGCAGCCAGGAGGATGCAATACCACTGGTGTAGAAAACAATCTGGCGGTGAGTTGCTGGGAGACTGGAGTATATGCTGTGTCTTGATTGGATTGATGAGGGACAGCTGAGCCGGTCGGCCAGGTGAGTGCAATCAGGCTGCTGCCTGCAAGGGAAACCACCACCCCCCTCCACACACACAGGGGAACAAACAGGGACACACAGGGACACAGTTTGGGCCGTGACAGTACTTTTGGGGTCAGCTTAATCCCATCCAGTCCGAGAAAAAGTTACATACAAGACATGAAAATGAAAGAATTTGCCCTAATTGCTCAGTTTGTGTACGGTATCTAGACAAATGTGTGTGAAGAGCACTCCAACTTTTAAATGAACAAGGACAATCTGAGTACAAGCATGGTATTGACCGGCCTTGACCGCTGTGTAGATGATTCAATCTATAATGCTTTATGAGCTGTAAACGTTTTGATGTCGTGAAGTTGCAATGTTTGCATGACCATCTCATAATATAAAGAGTCCTACATGTTCTCCCTGGTGAGACCAGCTTGGAAATCTGTCAACTGTCTTCCTCCCTAGACCTCAACTGGCTCCAGCCGCTCCACTTAAAAGTAAGGCCACTCTGTAAATGAACAGACATAATTTGTAATATTAAAACAATGGTTTAAACATTTATCCACAATTTTATATTACATTTCGCAGTGAAGAATAACAGTAATAATATATCCCTCTACTTGCCTGAGCAATCACTCCAATTAGGACTCCACTGGCTCACTGCCTGTACTGCTATGCTTCCTGTTGATAGACAGATATGTAAATAAGACAGATGAACTTCGTGAATATAACATTTCCACTTAATTAGACTTGATTGAATATTTGAAGAAAAAAAATTAAACAATTGGTGGAAACAGTATGTGGATATTTTACTAAAGTAAAAGTAGCAATACCACAGTGTATATTTATAACAGAGTATTTACTCTGTTACAAGTAAAAGTCATGCATTCACAACCTTACTTAAGTAAAAATTCAAAAGTATTAGTATCAAAATAAACTTAAAGTAAAAAGTACTCATTATGCAGAATGGCTCATTTGACAATAATATGTATTATATCACTGGATTATAATTAGTGATGCACTAACTCACAGGTCTCAAACTGCAGAAAAAATACTTTAACTTACTGTAAAAAAAACAACAACAATATAATTATAAGACATTTTAAGCCGTGTGTGTGTTTACTGTAAATTTTGGAAAACTGCGGCTAACGCTAACTCAGCTAACATTACTTTTCCTCTCCTCTGCTTTTGACAATGCTATTCCAACTGTTATGCCCTTAGTTTTATAGACGTGAAATAAAACGTGGAACCTTCTTTAGATGCATGTGAGTGTTTTTTAAAATTATCTGGTAAATTACAGTTACGGTTAGCTAGCTAACAGCACGTAACATATCTAAACATAATCTCTCACTTTGTGAACTAATGCACAGAAACGTTAACATGGTTCAAGCAAACAAGAATCAGGCTATTATGCACAAAGACACATATATTATCATAAGTCTTAAACAGAGAGACAATAACTTACCAACACTTCTTTTTCCAGCCATGCAGCTCCTCCAACAGCCTTCAAATGTGCAACTGCAAACCCAACTGCACCGTCGTCCAAAAACGCGGGTATCTTGTCTTGTCAAGACGCATAGCGCGGATTCAAACAGCTACTATGGTTTAGATTAACATTTACTTAGTATTTTAAGGTTTATGAGCAGTGACTATAAATCATTTAAATAGTATGAGTAAATATATAATAAAACGTACTCCTCCCACACTGTAAATGTATTACATGAATAAAAGGTGTATACATTTAAAATGTTACTTAAGAAATTCTAGTTCTTTGTGAATCTTGATATTACCATGTAAAAAGTACGACAGTTAATTAAATATATTTTACTACACCAAAAAGTCAGCTTTTTGAGTGCACTTACCCACTAGGTGTGAGCTGCCCTTACGCAAAGAAAATATATTTCCCCATATATTAACTGTCAATATATTGCATTATTTTGTTTTCTGATTTACTGGTTAATTGAAAAGATTTAATAAAGGAAATCTTGCTGTTGGCTACACCAAGTGATACTGATTAATAATCAACATGAAAAACATATTTATTCATATCTACAAAATATATTGAAAATATATTGAAGATATATAGAATAATATATTGTGTTAATATATTACAATATATATATATTGAATAATATATTGTGATAATATATTGTATATATGTGATAATACATCAGTAATTGCCGCTTTCCATATATTGAGTAATATATGTAAATATATATAATATATTGGTTGTGTATATATGTGAACATACATTTACTATATATTAACATTTATATGGGGACATGTACTATATATATTCACAAATATATGGGGACATGTATGTACTATATATTCAGTTTTATATGGGGACATGTATGTAGAATATATTCACAATTATATGGGGACATGTACTATATATATGCACAAATATATGGGGACATGTATGTACTATATATTCAGATTTATATGGGTTCATGTATGTAGAATATATTCACAATTATATGGGGACATGTACTATATATATTCACAAATATATGGGGACATGTATGCGCTATATATTCAGATTTATATGGGGACATGTATGTAGAATATATTCACAATTATATGGGGACATGTACTATATATATTCACAATTATATGGGGACATGTATGCGCTATATATTCACAATTATATGGGGACATGTATGCACTATAATAATAATAATAATACATTTTATTTTTAGGCGCCTTTCATGACACCCAAGGACACCGTACAATTATACTATATATATTCAGATTTATAAAAGACCATGTACGTACCATATATTCTGAACATGAGTGCAATATATGTTCACAATGAGGAGAAATGCATGTTCTGATAAAAAAAATCTTTCATTTAATTTCAAACCTTTATTTATGCAGGTGAATCCCATTGAGATCATTGATCTCTTTTTCAAGGGTGACCTGCTGCAAGTAGGTTCCACATGAATACATATAAACATAACAGAAAAACAAAAAAGGACATCATACAGCATATTTACAGTGACTACAGTTTACATAGCTAGTAACATTTACAGGTTCCAACAGTTTCCGATTGGATAATATCTATCCTTGCTTTAAATACATTTAGTGGAACCAAATTGCTCAGACTGTTCCAAGTTAGCGGAGCTGCGCATCTAAATGCTATCTTCCCTAAGACAGTCCTAGCAGTTGGCACATTTAATAAAATCACAACATTCGATCTCAGGCAGTAGCCACTTACAATTCGCCGTGAGATCAGGGAGCAGATGTAGGAAGGAAGTTTCCCTAACATGG